GATATAAGGCTCTATGGCGCGAGAGAAGCTGAGAGCTTGTCACTTGAATAAATTGTCTGTTTGCACTATAAGAGAGACATGTGCTATTCACTCTCTATTTCTCTTCAGATTTATAAGGATCACCGTTGTTAGTAATACTAAAACGCTATCTTCTTCGTCGCTGTAACCCTTTTTAAACTAGGTGTTTACATTCCAGTCAGCCCGGGACTTAGCTAGAAAAGCCGTTATAACGTAAATGGCTCTTCTTAGATGGTGTGCTCGGTAAGTCTAAACTTCCCCAAAGCTTGAATTGTCGACTCTAAAAGAACCTTAGTCAACACCGTTTATGTCTAAGATGCGGCAGTGAGCCGCCGCGCCACCGGTCCGCAGCTAGCGCACATGCGTCTACTCCTGTAGGATCTCATTGTCTTAGCTACGTTCCAACGAAAATAAACACCTCGACCTTTCTTTCATATGCCGTGTTTTAGAACCAGCTTCAGATCGATGTCATTCTGTCTAGACAGGTATTTTCGAGGTTTTACTATTCCCAATATCTATGTGTCTAACCTCGTGCCGAGCCGGTGGAGGGACTAGTGGGATGTTTACACTACGTAAGCACACACCAGACAACGAGGCGTATATCTGATTATTTCTATATGATGTAGAAACATTGAAGCCTTTTGGCTTTTTCTCGGCATGTAGAAGGCGCTTCTATGACCTAGAAATGGGGCAAGATTGACTGCGGTTGCGAATCGGAGCGCCATTATATACATGTTCTTAGTTCCACAAGGGAGTATACCTACATGTAGGTAGCAGCCTTTGATCAAGTTTCCTAATAGTAGGTTTTTCAGATTAGGAGCAACGGTGGCGAAATTTTGAAATTGGTGATGGGCTTGCTCCATGAGTTCGATTGAGTATCATAGTTGGTGAATGGCATCCACTTGCTCAATGTGCCACGATTCTGTGATTAGCAGGCCAGTATCGAAATATGACTCAGTGGCTGCTTTTCAAGAATATCAACTATGGACAGGCCCTCAAGGGATCGGTGGCATACTCCACCTATTGATGCACTGAAAAAATGTTTGAACCTCATCTCTCCCACGTGTTCCACATGTGTTTTAGTTATAGTGGCTTGTTGCCAGGCATGCTGCCACCCCGGATCTACGCCGCTATAACTATACGGTCTGACGTATTCGGGCCTTCCTGTTTGTTACCTGCAAAGTAGACTGCAAGTTTAGCAGAGCAGCGATTACGCTCTTCTGCCTTTCTTCTCTCTCCAGCTAACACCTTCTCCCGATTGTCTCTATCGATCGACTACCTACCATATCATCATAATAGGAAGGGAACGTCGAGACTCGCGAATTGCCAACAACCAGCCCGAGAAAGAAATTCTCGCCTGTACAGAGGTCTTCTGTCGTGGCCTGGTTAATGAGGTACATTCGCCATCGACCAGTGTAGAGCAATACACCTAGCAAGTATCAGTGAGGACGGGAATGAACGACACAAATACCTAGACTCTTTGCGCCCAACACATAGACCATACGGCAGCCATCTATGGGGAGTTCCTAGCAATTTCGTTGGAGGATCAATACCCGGAACTACGTCAAGGCCACGAATAGATCAGTCCCAAGAGATAGCATTAGTGGGGGACAACGCATCTCGCTTTGATGTAATATTCAATAAAATATGTTATAGGAAGCCTACCCGCGCCCCTGCAGTCTTCGGAGAACACTCTGGTTGGTGGCAAGAAGAACGTAAGCATCGGTACTGCCAGAGCCGTGAAATGGCGGTTGCTCCTCAATCTGATACTTGAGGCCTATTTGTGTGTTATCAACGACGTGCCCGCCATAGCTTCTGCAATGGAGAGTGACATACTTCTCGAGCAAGCTTGGATACGTTGATGAGGCCGACAAGCCTGACCACGCAGCTTACTCGCTGGAGCTCCTGCAGATCTCGAGGGCCGCTCTGATAAAGACGCTATTCATACGACTAGAGCAAAATCTGCTAGGTCTTAGGTTCAAGAGAAACTCCGGCTGTGACATTGGCTTACCTAAATACATGTGAAATCGAGGAAGGCCCTGAGTATATCATGGGAGCTGTATCAGTCCGGAATGTACCCAGGTACTTACTACACAGTGAGTACAACCTAGGCGGCTACTATACTGGCGAGTGTATTTATGACACGAATAACACCTAACAAGAAGCTCTCAATCGGTATAATACACGAGTCTGTGCTTTGGGCTATGCTTGCTTGGTACGGGATACAGATTTTAGCAACCTGAGGTAACGAACGTCATCCTAAGTTGTCTTCACTATATTATGCTCAGATGATTAGTAGAGGATAGTTATATTCCATCCAAGAGACGGCATAGGACGGCAGGAGACATGAGGCCTCGTATTGTTAGGAGCATTTGCTTGAAAATTCTAACTGTAGTAGGCCGTAAGGAAACGCCTCTTGATCAAGGCGACAATGTATGATTTATAATTATATTCCTCCGTGCCGACTTAGAGATAGCAGCAGCCTAGAGTATAGGTAAATAAAGTAGAGCTCTAGATATCAACTAAATCAAGTGCTTCTGGCCTAGTTTGGCATCGCAATGCTCTCTTACCGTGTCCATTTCCCGAAGATAATTCAGTAGGTGCTTCATCATCCGGATATTGAGACTGATTTCTTAGGCAAGCAAGGAATGAACGAATATGTATGTGTGGCTATCTCCGAAGGATTCCTAATTGGATTAGTCCAAGCCCCGGCTATCTGCGAATGGAGTCATTCGGCCTGGGCAGCCTAGATCCTCTTCGGATAGCGCGGATCTCGAGTTCATCCGTCAATTACTAATCCCGACGATCCTCCGGACGTTCTACACCGGATGAGTCACTTCTATTACTGAATTCACGTGCCTTCGCGGTACTATCGTGTTTCAAAAGACGATTTGGGCATGGGTTCAAGCAGGAGTCGCGTCGCTCCACCTCTTATGGCGTTGATACGGCGGCGGGGAGATCCAAACCTATTGGGCCGAGTATGATTCATGGCCGGATGAGGCGCCGCCGGCCTTCGTCTATATAGGAAGCGTATGGCATCGCAGGTTATCTCTCCGACTCAAGTCAACCGCTCTACTGTACGATCTAATCTCAAAGCGCTTTCGTTTATTTGTGTGAAAATGTCGACCTTCTCTCATGAGCCTGCCTTCGAGGCCGCTTGTCAATCTGGCAGGATACCAGGTGCAGTGCTTGTTGCTACCGACGCCACGGGAAAGTTCAAGTATGCCAAAGCATTTGGCAAGACAGCCCACGGGGAGACGCTTTCTATAGATAGCGTCTTCTGGATAGCTTCATGCACTAAGCTGATGGTGTCTGTCGCGGCGCTGCAGCAAGTAGAACGGGGACACATCGGGCTGGACGAGGATATCGAAAAGGTCCTCCCAGAGGTTACCGCGCTGCAAGTTCTGACAGGATTCGATGATGAGGAGAAGCCTGTATATGAGGAAAGGCAGGGCACAATCACTCTGAGGTGAGTATGCCACTGTGGTCCTTGCATCTTACTCGAACGCTTGCTCATGTATTCCTCGCAAGGCATCTGCTCACACACACCACCGGGCTTTCTATCCCGATTTTCACGCCCGAGCTCCAGCAGCTGCAGAAGTTCAAGGGTCCTCCTGCAACACCGCCTAAGACCATCGAAGCCGAGTTTTCGGAGCCTCTCCTTTTCCAGCCTGGTAAGGGTTGGAATTATGGTACAGGATATGACTGGGCAGGCAAAATGGTCGAACGCTTCTCCGGCCTCACCCTCGAGGAGTACATGCGCGCCAACGTCTGGGGTCCCCTGAACATGCGGCACATGAGCTTCTCTCCAGATTCGAGCCCGGAGATGAAAGAGCGCAAGATAAATATGAGCTTGAAGGACGAAAGCGGGAAGCTAGTCCCAACGACGGAGGGCTATATCTACCTGTACGAGGATAGGGACGATGCATACGGCGGGTTCGCCGGTTGGGGCTCGGCAGAGAGCTTTTTACAGTTGCTACAGACCCTGTGCGCGAATGATGGTAGGGTCTTAAGTAAGGAACTAGTTGATGAGATGTTCCGCCCGCAGCTAGGACCCGAGACCAAAGAGGGTTTGAACCATCTCCTCAAGAACGTCGATTTGCTCCGCCGGGTGTACGCTAACTCGTTTGACATGGACCATCAAGTGATGGACCATGGGCTCGGCGGAGAGATCGGTACTAGAGACGAGGTCGGCAGGAGGAAGGCCGGGACCATGTCTTGGGGCGGCTTGCCGAACTTGATTTGGTGGATTGATAGGGAGGCCGGTCTTTGCGGTGCATTGTTCACGAATGTGGTACCATTGGGAGACGCGGAAGTTAGTAAGCTGGAAGGGCTGTTCGAGAAAGCAGTCTATGAGCAGTACGAGGAGTTCAAGAAACAGTAGCTAACTAGGTATCTAATCAGCGTAGGCTATATATATATCTCGTTTGGAGAATTGATGTAGCCTTGGATACTCTAGGTACTGTTTATAAATAGATATTGTACTTGGGATGATATGATGTTTTGTCTCGTCGAGTGAAGTACTAAGGTATGTGCGATACATATGCATCCGGTAGTATTGCATGTTATGTACATTTCGGACCTCCGTAGCTTCTGCACGATTGATAGATCATTCACTGGCAAGAAATGATAGCTCATAATCGATATAATATTCTAAAGTCCGATGAACCCGATCCCGAATGCTTGTCGTAAATTGTGTGCACTTGTAGAGATTGGTTATATACAATGATAATTCATGGCGAAGGTTTTCGCAAAGTTGGGAAGCGGCAATCGTGGACGGAGTGAAGTCGCGGGAAATTGTTTATTGATTTAGGAAATTCTGTTACGCTTGATTAAAGAGAGCCGGAGGGAAGGCGTAATTGTGCGTGCGTTCCTAAATGCTTTTGTATATTTGCGGTCCGGCCGCGATGGACAAAAAAAGAACCGGAATCTCAAAAATCGACAAAAGAAAGCGGTACAAGAGGAATCTAACCTCTCAATGATGGACTCGCGGGGAATCGAACCCCGGACCACTCCCAAGCTAATGCGCGCCGTCGGTGCTATGCACCTAAGGGCCATAGGATGCTAAGGGAGTATTATACCACTAAACCACAAGCCCGAGTTGCGAGACACGGAACGTAATGGTAATTATGATCTCTACAAAATTGCTCGGCAGAGAATCGGCTTACAGGAAGGAGTACCGAGCTATGGCGCTAATGACGTGCTTGGCGCCGGTTCTCTTCGGGTTCCTCCACCTAGGGTACTAAAGTAGCTCTATGTACGATAACGACCTTAGATTAAAGCGCTTGAGGAGCGACTTTCCTACTATTCTCTGGTAACTAACATCTACTTACGGCTATAACATATATACATATTGATACGAGAAGTAAAGTTCGATAAGTTTATTAACTATATTTAGTTGAATACTTCAGTGAGCTACCTGGGTATGCATCAATAATCCAGTGATTCGGTGGTATCTAACGAAGCCCAGTTAACCATATATATAATAGGTATCTTAGCTTACCCTATCGAGTGTCGTGGAATATCCATAGTATGCCCGGATCTATCTGGAACTTCTATGTGCCGCATGGATGCGCGAGGGCGTTAGGAAGTACTACTACTGTTCTTCGTAGTCTGACTGGCAACATTCGAGAATAGGTACATATAGGTATACAAGACGCATAGCTCGATCATTGGTAATACAAATTCTGACTGGATACCAACATATATCAGTGCCATGCCTATTCTACATCGTGACTGAGGACGATAACGGTGGTCGTTGATATCCTATCAGGAGACTGGAAAGAAGACATAAAGACTTGGCCTTGCCCAGGTAATAGGTATATTACCGCCTTAGCTGACGATCTCTAGATATCTGTATGCAAACACAGAGACCGTGAATACCTAACCCAGTAGAAAACCCTTGTCGATTCGACCTGGGCTCAATGACAGTTCGAAGAGTGTCCTGGGCAGCAATGGGTCTCCATCCGTACGGGCGTACATAGAAGCACGATACATGCAGGGTTCCATAGTGACGTTGGGCTGCGATTTGAAAATTCTGCCGATGAATCAATGCTTTTGTTTTACTAGGTAGATTTGAGGTATGATGACAATGAGGTAGACATAGGAGGTTGTGTATGGGACGTTTGCGTGAATATATCTATGTATGTATCTACCTAGGTAGATACATGTACTTATAAGGTACTATGGTACATCGTAATGTGTTCTAAAACAAAGAAAGGAAGGGACTCCTACTCCAGACAACGCTTACAACCTTAGAAATGCAGCTTCCGTAGGTACCTACATACCTGTAGGTGGAAGTGACATTGGGATATTTGGTTGCTTGTGGGCAGCTACTCTAGGTACATCAGGTACCTAGGTACTGGTCAAAGCTCCGCCCTCGTTGCGAGGTATCCACAAGCTGCCATAGCAAAACACCCGCCCCACTTCGCAATCATTACGCAAAAGGCAGTGGCCGATCAGCCGCGAACTTTCAAACCTCTTAAACCAAACCTATTTTTTCTTCCTTTCAATAACTCTTGACACCGCCAAACTGCATCTCGTCTACGACCAAGTCAAGTAAATACTCCATCTGCAGTGGACGATCTGACTTCTTCCTCCTGCCCATCGCGATATAGCACGTCTTTCTCGGATCTGGAAACTACGGTACAGCGGCCTGCACCCGCCTGCACTGACCTTGTTCTAGCTTCCTGACAGCCGTGCTGGAATCGTATCTACGCCTCACATCATCCATCATCACTCGCCCCTCACCCGCCCACCATCCACCCAACCCGGACCCGACTAACTTTTCTACGACCTTGTGACGCGTGGGGTGTTTCCCTTCCTCGACTTCCTCATTTACCGACCTCACTACTAAGAAGTCAGAGGAGCATTTCCGCAAACGCACCTGTTTTTGATACCCGCAAGGCTGACGTCCGGAGACGAGGCTTAACCCGCCAACTCGACGCTTCAGCAGCACTAGATTTCGTCACTTCGCCCTGTGCACCAACGAGCAGCTCGAGACACCGTACGGGAGGAGTAGTCCAAGCTAATTTGGACGCTCCCACGAGGCGAGCCAAGTTGTCGTCGCCGATCACTTAGATCTTTGGTAGTGGAGGGGGAGCTGACATATTCTTCGCGGCTCTGCCGCCCCAGCCTTCACCATGGGAAAGATAGAGAAGACTATTCAATCTAAGCACAAGGAGACCTTGGTAAGTGCTTCTGTGATCTTCATTCTGCTTCCTAGCCCGCTAATGTAATTACCTAGTCTCCTTGGCTACAGGAGTTCATCGACAATGCGACCTCCACACCATTACCTCTCTTACCCCAAATTCTTGCCACATTCCCCACGCGATGGCCCTTCCCGAGAGGCGATCTGTATCATTGGATACCACTGCTGAATCGATTCGATGGAGCTCTAGAATCGTTCTGCACTGTCTACAAGTTGAACGATGGTCCACAGGCTAGAGACTTTGGGTGTGAAGTCCTGCTAGGGTCTACCTCTGCCACCAACGACGATGGAGAGCGATCGAGCGAGCTAGACAAGCTTTCAGAGCTAGGATATGGCAAAGATGGCGATGCTCACCTCATTGTCGCTATTCTAAAGTTCACCCAGATGCTTCTAGACCACTGTGGGAATCGCAGCATATATGCTAGCAGTCCTCACTTGAACGACCTTCTGAACAGCACAGAGTTCGCCATCGTCTGTGCTACTCTCCGCGTTGGTGTGGAATTAGCCCAGCGTTACCAAGCCTCGGTAAAACGCCTCCACGGGATGACAACCCGACAAGTGCACACAACTCTCCTCTCGAATCACTATAACATCAATCTTGACCGTGTGCAGCAGCTTGCCCAGCCTTTCGTCAAAACGCCCCTCTCTAAGTCTTCTGAGCCTTCGATTCTTTCCACTCCGGGTTCTGCGAGTAAAGGCAAAGAGAAGACTCACAGTGGAAGCCTTAAGAACGTGGCCACTATGTTTGCGAATGACCTGTACGCGCTTGCCAAGGCAGACTCTAACGAGGGCCCGGGCTCGCAAGCGCGTTGGAGCGGCTGGGGAGATGTGAAGCTGACATATTATCCCACCTCGGACACATCGCAGGGGCCCGCGCAACAGTCATTGCCTGATCGAGGTACTACCTCGAATGTACCGTCGACGCCGACGCCTTTGAGGCGAAGTAGCACTTCTGCCGCCACGCAATCTACCCCTCGCGCAAGCCGTCAAGTGGTGTCAGAGGACAGCCCGGCTTCCGCCTCTCGCTCTCCGGCTTTAGGGCGGGACGAAAGTACCCCCCCGGGCCAGAAGTCATTGGAAGTATCTCAAGCGGCAGTGTCCTCTGCGTCGATCTATGAACTTCTCGCTAGGGCACCCGCAGATCTCCCGAAAGAGACCAAGTACGAATACCTGAATCGTCTTAGGATCGCCAAGGCCCTCACGGGATCGGTTGAGTCTCGACAGCTGGCACTGAAGGCGCGCTTGCTGGCCATTCAAAACCTGGCGTATATCCATATAGAACCTACCTTCGTCGAAAAAGTCCTTAGGCAGGACAACGATGAGCCGCGACGGTTCCAGTTGGTTTATCAACTTGCAGAACTGATCCACCCGGCCGCTGATGGCGCCACGGTAGTACCCATCGATTTGCAGTCGATTGCGTTTTCGTTGTTGGAGGCCATCTCAGGTTTCCACCACAAACTGCCCGACATATTTTCGGCGCTGAATGCGACTGTGAACCATGGTGTGTTGCTTTATGTTATCAGGAAGGCCGTTGCCGAGATGAAAGGGGATGATTCTGGGGACCAATGGAGCGAAGAGGACGAATGGCGTGACAACCTCTTTTCTCTTACGCTTCATATCACGATGGCGATGGCTAATCACACGACGCGTAACATGCCTGAAATCATCTCGGCCGGATTGTTGGACATCATGGTCGAGATCCTCAACATTAGGTCCAACATAGCCGAACGCACATACGGCACTTTGGTAGGATTCTTAGACAGTCTCGTTTATAACGTGCAGAGTTCCTTCCAGACATTGATAAATGCCGACGGCCTTGAGGCTATTACCAATCTAGTTACTCATGAAGTTGAACTCGCGAAGAAGCTCGTTGCCGATGGCAAAGGAACGCCCGCTACTCATCGTTCTCAAGTTGTTGACTACGAGATACCATTCTATCAACAGCAGAACCTCAAGTTTCTCTTGAAGTTCATCCATCATCTGATGTCAAATGCCTTTGCTTTCGGTGGCAACACTGATCGGTTATTGAGGAACCTTGTCGACAAGTCGGCGCTGCTTCGCAGCATACGCGAGATCATTGAGAACATGACCAAGTTCGGCTCCTTAGTATGGACTAATGCCGTTATTATTCTAAGTGATTTCCTCAACAACGACCCCACTAGCTTCGCTGCCATCTCTGAAGCCGGGTTAGTCCAGAGTTATCTCCAAGCTTTGACAGGCCGTCCAGTGCATACAGCACAATCCGGTGGAACCGACTCAGACCAGAGCGGCAACCGAGACGACAGCCCTGATTCGCCTTCGGGTAGTTCTGCATCTGACCTCCTTGAACCAGATAATCGTCCGCATCCCCCGTCACAAGAGGATTTAGAAGCACCTCGCGATGGCCCGCTGGCTCGCGGCATATTGCCAAATTCGGAACCCATCACAATTGTGCCAACCGTCTTGAATGCGATATCTTTAAATAATCAAGGTATGAAGATGGTTGTCGCGTCGCGCGCTTTTGATAGCTACTTCGAGATATTCGAGAGTCCCGAGCACGTCCGAGTAATGGCAACGGACGAAAACGTGGCGCAAAATGTTGGAGGGAATTTTGATGAGCTTGCTCGCCATCACCCGTCTCTCAGGCCAGCCATTGCGAATGCCGTTTTAGACATGGTTGCTCGAGTCACCCACCTCGCTCGGATCAAGGCTACAGATGCTCAATGGGGAGCTAAACTACTTGTGACAGATTCGAATGGTCGAGAAGTGATTGCCGATGAAGAGTTATTGAGCGGACCTCGAATAGCTCCTTCGGATAAAGGAAAGGGCAAGGCTATCGCCGCTATGGACGATGCGGATGTCGAGATGACGGACGTGAGCGCACAGCAAACAGAAGATACGGAACCGAC